CTGGCTGATGCACCACCTGTGCCCCCTACTGTGCCACATACAGACATATACACATACAGATACGTTTACATACAGACACCTTCACATACAGACACCTTCACAAACGTAAGCCACGCACAGGTACGCGGTCACCTGACCAGCACCGTAAGTTTGTCTGTGGATGTCTGCAGCAGCAGGAGTCCAACCTCGGCTGAATCTGTGCTCTGTGCAAGCAGCGATGATGATTGTTGAGCGCAGTGGTTCTCTCATTAACCTTGACTGCAGCCATGCTACCACTTTGCTTCTCAATAGTAAACAATGTACAACGTTGACAAATACAGAGGCTTTGATGAGACAACGTTGTACTTAGGGGCCGTCCATAAATGACGTCACGCACCTAGGAGGGGGGGGGGTCAGACATTTGTGACGAGGGGGGGGGGGGTGAGAAATGTGACGTCACATCAAAATGCGCAACTTTAAATAAATATAGACAACACGTTCTACTTAATTAAATTGACTTTTTAAACACATTTCTGCGGAGGGAGCTGGTAGGAAGGTTGGGTTGCTCGGTCAATGGTCAGGGTCAACGGCGGCGTGGTGTATTCCGCAAATATGCCCGACTGTGAGGGCGGGCACAAGCCGGCGTGAGTAGGTTAAACGTTGAGTTTTATAAGGGCACCACGGGGTGACCAGCCCCTCCCCACCCAGCCCCACCCCTCCCATCCCCCACCCTCCCCACCCTCCCCACCCAGCCTCTCCCCACCCTCCCCACCCAGCCCCTACCCACCCTCCCCTCCCCACCCAGCCCCTCCCTCCCCACCCAGCACCTCCCTCCCCACCCATCCCCTCCCTGCAGGACGGACGGACACAATAATCCCCTGTGGGCTGGTGTAACCAGGAGGTTCCTACCAGTATAAATGTTTTCTCCTACAACATCAGAGTGCAGCGCCACATTAAATACGCACCACAATGACAATAGTTTAAAGCGATTTGAAGCATGTTTAATTTTTTTTGGGGGGGGGGGCAGAGCTTTGTGAAGTCATATTTGAGGGGGGGGGGTCTGACTTTTTGTGACGCCGTGTGACGAGGGGGGGGGGGTCAAAAATCGTCCAAAATCGCGTGACGTCATTTATGGACGGCCCCTTACGTGGCCGTGCTTAATTCGATTATTTACCTTCGAAAGAAAATCTGGCCGCGTCTCGCAACGCCCCCCCCCCCCAGAAATGGCATATCGCACCCCCGGGGGGGGGGGGGTGGAGTGCACCCCAGGGAAAGGACCACTGGGTGTAGAGTTCAAGACGCGATGTGCACGGGTCGCTATACTGGAGGTTTCTGCATGCTGCTGCATGCGTCCGTATGTGAATGCGTCTTTGACAGTGTCCGTCCGTTAACGTGTCTGTAAATGTGTCTGTATGTGAACGTGTCTGTATGTGAATGCGTCTTTGAGAGTGTCCGTCCGTAACGTGTCTGTAAATGTGTCTGTATGTAAATGTGTCTGTATTTTGAGAGTGTCCGTCCGTTAACGTGTCTGTAAATGTGTCTGTATGTGAACGTGTCTGTATGTGAATGTCTGTAAATGTGTCTATAGACGATTGTGTCAATTAGGCTCGTCGGTGACGATCTGCGTGTCAATGGGGGTGCGATGGGGAGCGGTGGTGCAGCGGTCAGCGCGCTGCGCTACGAACCCGGCCACCACCCGAGTTCGATTCCCGCTCACGGCTACCAACACCCAGTGACGATTATCTGAACCGGTGACTGGGCCCCCCCTAGGTCGACTTGGCCTCAAATTAGTACCTGGTGTAGCGGTGTGTAAACATCGCCGCTGGGTGAGACAAAGGCGGCTTGGGCGGTGGTCGCAGGCCACCCAACTCCCCCCCTCGTGTGCCGTGCCGGCCTTCGCAGCTCACTAACAGCACTTGCCCCAACAGTCCGCTCAGACTATACGGGGGATCTTTGTCTTTGGTTGAATGCGGCTGTACCGCATATGGTTGCGTGTCTGTGCGTGGGGGTAAATCGTCCGCGCACTCCGTCCCACACAACTCTCCTCCCCCGTCTCTCTTCTCGGCCTCCGCGTACATCAACAACCTTCACCCGAACCACCACCATCACCACGGCGGGGCTCTATCCGACCTCCGGGCGCGGCAGTTTTCCACCCCAGCAGTGCACAGTGTGGGTCGCGTGCGGTGGTGTCAAGCACGCTGCGATTGAAGTCCTCATCGACTTGCAGCTCCCACGCCCCCTGGCCTCTGACACCGCGCTGGATGAGAGCCCCCGAATCTCTCAGCTACCTCTCATCTCACTCTACTCTCTTCCACGCGCTCTCCTACCTCTCCCCTCTCATATCACTCTACTCCCCTCCACACACTCTCCTACCTCTCATCTCACTCTACTCTCCTACCCCTCTCACTCTACTCCCCTCCACGCACTCTCCTACCTCTCATCTCATCTCACTCTACTCCCCTCCACGCACTCAGCTACCTCTCATCGCACTCTACTCTCTTCCACGCGCTCTCCTACCTGTCCCCTCTCATCTCACTCTACTCCCTCCCAACACTGTCCTACCTCTCCCCTCGCTCTACTCCCCTCCACACACTCTCCTACCTCTCATCTCACTCTACTCTCTTCCACACACTCTCCTACCTCTCCCCTCTCATCTCACTCCACTCCCAACACTCTCCCCTCTCATCTCACTCTACTCTCCTCCACGCGATCTCCTACCTCTCGCCTCTCATTCCTCTCTACTCCCTCCCAACACTCTCCTACCTCTCATTTCACTCAACTCCCCACCACGCGCTCTCCTACTTCTCCCCTCTCATCTCCTCCACGCACTCCCCTATCTCTTCCCTCTCATCTCAATCTACTCCCTCCGAACACTCCCTTACCTCTCGCCTCTCATCTCACTCTACTCCCCACCACGCGCTCTCCTACCCTGCCCTTCTCATCTCACTCTACTCCCTCCCAACTCACCTACCTCTCCCATCTCGCTCTACTCCCCTCCACGCACTCTCCTACCCCGCCTTTCTCATCTCACTATACTCCCTCCCAACACTCACCTACCTCTCCCATCTCGCTCTACTCCCCTCCACACACTCCCTTACCTCTCGCCTCTCATCTCACTCTACCCCTCTCACTCTACTCCCCACCACGCACTCTCCTACCTCTCATCTCACTCTACTCCCCACCACGCACTCTCCTACCTCTCGCCTCTCATCTCACTCTACTCCCCACCACGCGCTCTCCCACGTGTGAATGTGCCCGCACCATGTGACCGTGCTTGTATTCTCTGCGTCTGTCTCTGTCTCTCTCCACGCGGTCTGTGTACAACGCACGCGTCTCGTAGGGAATCCTCGCACCTACCCCAACTCCCTCCTTCTCCACCACCCCCCTCCATCCGCCCCTCCCGTCCCCCCGCGCCGTCTAGACAGCGCTCGCTGCCAGCGGCGGCTCCTTATCAACATTCGGCATCGCTCAGTCACGTGAGACGAGGAGAGAGAGAGAGGTGGGGGGGTAGAGGAAGGAGAGGTGGTGGGATAGGGAGGAGGATGGAGGATAGAGTGATGGGGGGGGGGTCAATGAAAAGTAGGAAGGAAAGGTGATGGAGAGAGGTTGGAGGGGGTGATGGAGAGTGATGGGGTAGGGTGACAGGACGGAAGGTGATGTTAGAGGGAGGGATGGATTGCTGGGGAGATAGGAGGCGAGGGCAAGGAGAGTTGCTGGCAATGATGGGGTGACAGGAAGGAGAGGGTGATGGTGGTGATGGGGAGACAGGGAAGAGAGTGATGGAGGTGATGGAAAGTGTGATGTTAGGGATGTGCAATGATGATGGTGGCTTGGGTGCAGTGACTGCCAATGGAGTGGAGGCTGATAGAGGCGAGTAGATTAAAAGGGAATTGACGAGTGGTGGCGATGTGAGCTTAGAGGTGCAGAACGGGCAATTGGTGGGATTATCACAACTCAGCAATGGGCACTTCGGTTCATTTGCGCGAATTAATGCGGCGAACACAAATTCAAAAGCGAACTTCGTAGGCGGACGACTCAAAACGCGACCGCTGAGCGTTTGTAGGGGCTGTGGATAAAGCTCGCTTGAGGCCGGGGCGAGCGGCGATGATGATGATGATTGTCGCTCTTTGCACGGGAGGTCCCCTCCTCTCCCCTCCACCCACCCCCCCCCCCCGAGGGAAACTTGGTAAATAACGTGGCGTAGGTAAAAAATGAAATACAAATTAATACAAATAAAATAATAAAATCGTGATTTTTTAATTTTTTACCTACGTGACTTTACCGAATCCTTGCAGTCACGAAAGCTTCACATCTAGAAATAACGTGGCCTTAGAACGGCAGGGATGAGTTGCGTTTCACTCGCACGAGATTGGCCGATGAGTCCCATGCACGGGCAAATAATAAGAAGCAGTGCACGAGGCTCGCGTGGTTTAAATTCTGAACTGCTGCTGCTGGTCTTCTTGGTTCTTTCGGTAAAGTCACGTAGAAGGGAAGTAGTAAAATAATAAAAATAAAACATAATAAAATAATTATCACGACGTTTCGGCCACAACGCAAGCAGCCGTCCTCAGGTGAAGAACAGGTTTGTCGGGGAGACAGCGTTATTCAGACCTGGTCTTCGCCTGAGGACGGCTGCTTGCGTTGTGGCCGAAACGTGAGAATTATTTTATAATGTTTTATTTTTATTATTTTAGTATTTCCCTTCTACGTGACTTTACCGAAAGAACCAAGAAGATGAATCCCTGCAGTCACGAAAGAAGCTTTAAATCGAAATTTGCTGCTGCTGGGTTTACCGAGGGAGGTGGGGCGTGGGAAAAGGCCGAGGAGGCATGGCTGAACAAGGCGCATGCGAGGGAGAAACGCGAGTTTCCACGCGGAGATCTGGAAACGGAAGGGAGTTCAGTTGGTCGTTCTTTTGAAACAGAAATGTGTAAAAACATCGCGACCGATGCACAACTCGTCTTGAGACCCAACCGAAAAGCACTTCACCCGAAAGAAAAAAAACAAACACACACACCGGCTTCGATATAACGAACACTGCAGCCATTGTTTTATTTTACATTGAAACATCTCTTAAGCTATTCATACACGTGTACAAACAACAACAGCACATCTGTTCAGAAGCCTCTGGAGATTGTTTCAGTCGCTCAAATCTGTTAAATTAGCTTTATTATATTAATATAAGGTGACGAAAAAAAATGTACAACAAGTGCCTCCTAGCACGTGTCTCCTGCGTTTGGAGCACGTGGAAGGAATCCATCCTCGCGGCAAACGCGTGCAGCTGCAGGGCCTGTAGACTCCAAAACTACACGACTCTCCGTGTTCGTCTATGGGTGTCCGTGTTTGTCTATGGGTGTCCGTGTTAGTCTATGGGTGTGTGTCAGTCTATGGGTGTCAGTGTTAGTCTATGGGTGTCAGTGTTAGTCTATGGGTCTCCGTGTCAGTCTATGGGTCTCCGTGTTAGTTTATGGGTGTCCGTGTTAGTCTATGGGTTTCCGTGTTAGTTTATGGGTGTCCGTGTTGGTCTATGGGTCTCCCTGTTAGTCTATGGGTTTCCGTGTTAGTCTATGGGTGTCCGTGTTAGTCTATGGGTCTCCGTGTTAGTCTATGGGTTTCCGTGTTAGTCTATGGGTCTCCGTGTTAGTCTATGGGTGTCCGTGTTAGTCTATGGGTGTCCGTGTTGGTCTATAGGTGTCCGTGTTAGTCTATGGGTCTCCGTGTTAGTCTATGGGTGTCCGTGTTAGTCTATGGGTTTCCGTGTTAGTCTATGGGTCTCCGTGTTAGTCTATGGGTTTCCGTGTCTGTCTATTGATCTCTACGTCGGTCCATGGCTCTCGATGTTTGCCTATGGGTTCATATCGGTGGCGTGCGTAGTAGCGTGGTTAGAATGGGCCCTGGTGCAAGGAATGGAATTGGGCTGTCCACCCCCTCCGAGGGGTGTCTTTCACCCCCTCACCCCCCCCTCCGTCACGTACGGCTCAGTGCAGCTGCACCGCCTGCACACTCGACACCGATCCCTCCCATGGCGCACGGAGCGATCCGTCAAGAGCGATGCCAAAATCCGTGCAGCCCCGCTCATTATCATCACAGTAATATGAAAAAAAATGAATCCCTTTAACTGGAAGCCACGGGTCGTGTTCAAATGATGGACAACACGCACGGACCGAGAAGCAAGGCGTCTAAACTTTCGGCAGCGCCACGAATGAATGAATGTTTTAACGACGAGAAGTCGAGATGGAGGGGAAGAGTTTGTTCAAAGGATTCCCGGCGGTATCCAGAAGCGGCGCGTCACTGCGCTGCCGACAACGAAAGAGACGGCGTCCGTAAGAGAGCTCGGGGCCGCTGGGACGGATTTGGGCTTGGGGTCTGGGTAGGAGGGGGGCGCGCTGGGTAGGAGGGGGGCGCGCTGGGTAGGAGGGGGGCGCTGGGTAGGAGGGGGGCGCTGGGTAGGAGGGGGGCGCGCTGGGTAGGAGGGGGGCACGCTGGGTAGGAGGGGGGCGCGCTGGGTAGGAGGGGGGCACGCTGGGTAGGAGGGGGGCACGCTGGGTAGGAGGGGGGCACGCTGGGTAGGAGGGGGGCGCGCTGGGTAGGAGGGGGGCACGCTGGGTAGGAGGGGGGCGCGCTGGGTAGGAGGGGGGCGCGCTGGGTAGGAGGGGGGCACGCTGGGTAGGAGGGGGGCACGCTGGGTAAGAGGAGGGCGCCGCCGCCGCCGCTGCTACCGCCGTGTCCGCGCGTCACAAAACGCGGCTCCATTCGGGGGTTATTTTTTTTTACTTACCGCAAACGCTCAACAAAACGACGACCCCCCCTTCGCCCCCCTTCGCCCCCCTTTAATTGTTTGTTAAAGTGCAATTAACTCTGATAAATATGCTAAGGTATTGTTATGCTACTGGCTTGCTGTAACCACGAATGCTCGCGCCGAGAAAAATGCGCAGAGGGCCCCCCCCCCCCCCCCCCACAGCATGCGGCTCGCTAACGGCACAGGCCGCCTCCACCACGCGGCCGTCACGTCGCTGCAGGGAAGTTACTGGGAGCAGGAACAGCGTGTGTACGTGTGTACACGTGTGTACATGTGTACGCGTGTGTATGCATGTACACGTCTGTACACGCGTATACGGGTGTACACGCGCGGGTGTACACGCGCACGTGTACACGCGTGTGTAGACGCGCACGTGTATACGCGTGTGTACACGTGAAGGTATGCCCCGTCAGCGAGGCACCGGTAAGTCCCCGCAGGGCGCGTGCGAGGCTGTGATGTCGTCACCGGCACCGCACGCACCGAACCGCCGTCTCCACGACTACTCCGAGGTTCACCGCACCGGCCGCTCTCTTTTTGCTTTTTTAGGCCGAGTCCGCGTAGACGCAGCTGGGGTCAAGTTCGGACTTTAAATGCAAACCTCCGTGCGGTGCAACACGGCCAGGAATCGAACTCGGGAGCGCGGGTTCGTGACGTGGCGCGCAGTCGCAACACACCGCCGTGTTGACCTTACGCAAATACAAAGATTCCCAGTGTAGCCTACACGGCCCATTGGGGCAAGCGCTGGTAGCCAGCACCTATGAAGGCCTGCACGGCGCACGCGGGGAGCGGGCTGGCCACCTTTGCCTCCCCCCCGAGTGGTGCTGTTCACTGCACGGCCTCATCAGGTACTAATTTAATGCTGAGCCGACCCAGGGGAGGCCCAGACGCGGCTCGGATATTCGCCGATGTTCGCCCCCGAGCGGGAATATAACGAATTCTCCCACGCTCACACACGGGGGACAGAGACCCGACCCAGGCTACGGAGCGGTGCCCTGGCGCCGGCCGTCGTGTTCCCAAGTGAGCGGGGGCTTTATTGGACGCTGCGCTGTTAAATGCCCTGCCCGGCATTCTAGCCTTGGGTTGCCACCACCAAATGAACAAAAACACCGGCACGTACAATCGGAAACAACAACAAGAATTGGTCGCAAAATGCCGGAAGAGGTGGGAACTACTTGTGAGCGCGTCATCTCCACCGCGGTCGAACTATTATTATCGGTATCGTGACACAACTGACAACAAAAAAACCGTGGACTCTCAATGTTTCCGGAAGGACGGGACAGATTTCCCGGGACAGAGGCTGCTTCAACAACATGGGAATAACGATCTTGGGAAAACCAGGACAGGTGGCCAACCCTAGAGGTGAACTACTGCAAAGGTGAGTGAGTGTGTAGGCGAGTGGAATTGGCGGGTATGCAGGTGAGTGGGTAGGCGAGCGTGTGGGTGTGCAGGCGAGTGAGGATACAGGTGCCCTGGTTGAGCCTTACAGAAATGCGTTGTGTACTGCAGTGGTGTTGTCTTCTTACGCAACTGACAAATACACAAACTGGACTTTTGGCGTCCGGGGAAGACTTAAGAGATTTCCCAGGACAGCGCCCAAACAAGAGGACGATCCTGGGAAACACCAGGACAGGTGGCAACCCTAGGCACGGTTGGGGCGGTGGCACAGCATACAAACGGGGGTGGTGTGGCCAGCCCCACGCCCACTTGCCCGGCCGTCTTTGTCTCCCCAGGGACAACGTTTGCGCACCGCACCAGATACTAATTTAAGGCCGACAACACTCTTGCGTTCCACCGAGGCCGGATCCAAGACTCTACCGTCGCCGGTGGGACCGGCGGTGAACTCAGCGCTCGCAGTGCGGCGGTGCGCCGACACCGCCGCCACCGCTTGCCGGGTCGCCGCTCGCCGCGTCGCCCGCGCCGTCGCTGAAGAAGCGCAGCGCGCCCTCCCACTGCTCCTGCGGGAAGCGGCTGTAGACGTCCAGGTCGTCCTCGCCGCCAGTGTCTGCGAGCGAGAGGGCGAGCAGCTTGCCGAGTGGGTGGATGAGCGGGTGGGTGGGCAGGCGAGTTGGTTGAGTGGGTGAATGTGTGGGTGGGTGAGCGATGGAGTGGGTTGGTGAGTAGATGGGTGAATAAGTGGGTTAGTGAGTAGATTAGTGGGTGAATGCGTGGGTGGGTGGGTGAGTGAGTGAGTGGGTGGGTGAGCGGGTGAGTGAGTGAATGCGTGGGTGGGTGAATGAGTGGGTGGGTGGGTGAGTAAGTGAGCTGATGATGTGTTGGTAAATAGCTGATTAAGGGAGTGCATGAACGAGTAGGGTGGGTGAGTTGGTGGATTAGCAGTGAAAGGGTGGGTGAGTGGATGAATCATTGACTTGAGTGGGCAAAGAAGTGTCTGGGTGGGTGGGTGGGTAAGTGATGCCAGGGTGAAGACAGCGAGTTGGGAACTCAAGGCTCAAATGAGCTGCTGGTGAGGGTCCCTTACCTGGGTACTTGCGTGTGGTAGAAGACGCAGCCTGGATCGTCTCCTGCACAAAGACGCACGCACGCACGTTTTTGCATAACACGTCTGTGTAAATCCCCCGTATATAGCCTTCAACAGACTGGGTAAGCGCTGCTAGCGAGCACCTATGAAGGCTGGCACGGCACACGAGGGAGGGGTGAGAGGGTTGGAAGAAGGGAGAGCCACACGGGGCTGTCCCCTCTTCCACCGCTACTGTGAGATATCCCCCCCCCCGCCCCTCCTCGTCCTCGTCGCCACGAAACGGATCCACGGCGTCGCACCTGAATGAAGGTTGTGAGCAGCGTGCAGCTGAGCTCGGTCTGCAGCGTGCTGCGGTTGACGGGGCTGCGGTGGCACGCGGACAGCAGCGTGGGGAAGAGCACCCGGCGCAGGCGAGCCTCGCTGAAGTACTGGAATGGCAGCAGGCACAGCTGCTGCAGCACCGTCGGCTGGCGGCCCGACTGCACGATCGTCTGCGCGGCAGCGGGGAAGGCGGGCAGAGAGAGAGAGAGCGGGATAAATCTTTTGTTAAATATTTCATTTAAAAGGGGGGGGGGGGGGGTTTACATAAAGCAAAGCTTTTAAAAAACAAAAAAAAAACTAAATGATGAACAAAGCAAAGTGCCGACTACACCGAGCACCTTCTTGTTTCCTCTGATCGTAAAAAAAAGAGAGAGAGACAGCGGGACAGAGAGAGAGAGCAGTAGAGAGAGAAATGGAAGTTACAAACTCAACATTTTTTAAAAATCTTGTACGATGCGATCCTAATGTAACCGTGCGCGTGATGGCACGATGTGCAGGATGCCAAACGCCGAGGTCTGCTGCTCGCCACAACGAGAGTTCTCCAGGGGAGGGAGAGTTCGTGTCGTGCTGTTGCTGCTGCTGACGGAGCGGAGACAATCGCACTCCTTTGCTTTTGTCTTGAATGTATCTCTACGTGTGTCGATGTATCTCGATATGTCTCTGTGTATCTCTGTGTGTCTGGATGGGTTTACGATATCGTCCATAGTTTGGGTTGTGCGGCCACAATGCATGAATGAGATACGCGTGTCGGGCAGCTGTTGATGTTCACGATAACTCGGAACGTAGGTTTCCGTAGCCAATACCACCGTCCATGTTTGCTTTGGGGTTGGGGCCAAGCGTCGGTAGTTTTTGTGCCCAAATTCTCGTCATTAACTCCGCGGCCCGACAAGGCTGTCACGTTTCCACAGACATCATCATCTCCGTCGTCATTACCCTTCACACGTGCCCACGCGATTGATCCGTTCTCACCGATGAAGCTCCTTGCCACGACGTAGGGCGGCGTTCCGCTCTCGCGCCAGCTCCGAGCCCCGTGGGCGAGCGACATCCTCGGCAAATTGAATCGATCATCGGAATACCTTGCTTTGCACAATGCCGTTCACACCACGACCACTCTCCCCCCCCCATCCCTTTCCAAACTTTGTTTTGATTCATTACGAATGTCACCTTCCTCCACCTGCGGCGGCTGGGCGACCTGGCGGTCCCCACGGAGCCAGAGATGACGATACGCATCTTCGGCGTGCGTGTGCGGATCGTTGTCAAAAGGGAAGTCCCCCCCCAACCCCCTGCGCACCCCGCCCCCCTCTCCCCCCACCCCCGCGTCTCCGCGTAGAGAATGTGGGTGTAATAGATGCCTTTGAGGTGTTTGTGCAACAGCAAGCCATTGTGTTCCGGTCACTTGCTAAATGCCACTGGCTATGATGATGTTTCGTGATGATGATGATCATGGTGACTGACAGTGATGATGACGATTTATGATCATGATGATGATATTGATTACGACGATCGTTGTCATTATGCTGCTGACGATACTGTTGGTGACGATGACGATGATGGCGATACTGCCGCTGGTAATAATCGTGATCTTGCTGCTGCTGCTGCTGCTGATGGCGAGTGACGGAGACGACGACGATCATAGATGACCGTTGCGATACAGGCAGAGAGGGACACGCAGGGACACACGGGGAGACACGGGGAGGATGCGGCGAGCCAGAGAGACACAAGGCGCGGTGTGAGAAAGACACGCAAGGACAGAAGACACGGACGCTGAGAGAGGAGATGCCCCAAGAAAACCTGTTCATCTCTTCTGAACGAAGGAGTCGCAACTATTTTTGGCAAGTAATGAGAGGGGCGGACTGAGGCCATCAAAGACCATCGTGCCCGCGGTGTCACCTTACGGCCTCTCCTCTCTTTCGGTTTTTGTTTGCGAGCGTACTTTACCGTCTCTCCTCCGCGCCCACAACAACGTGGGGAGGTCAGAGGCTCTCTCTCCCTCTCTGACAGCGTTGGCGTCTTCACGTCTCAACTCGAATCCGACCTTCTTGTGAAAAAAAAAATGTACTCTCCGATTCGTTTCGTTCCTCTTTGGGTCATATTCAGCCCACCCGGTTCTTTCGTTTGTTAAGATGCGATTCTTTGCATTCACGGAGCATCGAGACTTTTAGTGAAAGGCACCGCACGCGTGCAAATTACAATAATTATAATTTGCACGCGTGCGTGAGTGTGTGTGGGGAGTGGTAGTGCAGTGGTTAGCACACTGCGCTCCGAACACGGCGACCCGAGTTCCGATTCACAATCACAGCCAAGATCGATGACCAATATCTGAACTGGTCCTGGGCCTCTCCCAGGGTCATCTCAACCTTAAATGAGCACCTGGTGCGGCATGTAAATGTCAGCACTAGGGAGATGATTTTGTACCAAAAGGATGCGTATTTGTACAGAACCACGCAAGCCGGTTTGAACCGTTGCTTCGAAACGACTGGACGCTCTGTAGTTGAACTCGAGCGGAGTGAAGAATCTGCTGCCCCCTTCCCAAGGTAACCCTCCACGTCTGTATATTTAAGTCTAAGCAGTCGTTAACTTTAACAGCTCAACGGGCCCCACTGTGCTCGAGGAATGCTCTTGCCTATAGTAACGCCCAGGCAACCCACGGGTGTTTGTTTAACAGCGGTCGCTCCCTGCTGATGAGACTTGGACAGGTCGAAACCAGCGCATTTCACGAGAAGATAATCGAATCTTCCCCACACCGCCCCCCCCCCCCCCCGGGGGAGATGAGTAACGCGACTGCGGCGACTGCTACGACGCGCGGCACAACCAGAGAACACAGAGACCAAGGGAGTAGTCCAGAGATTACCGCTCAAATCACTGCTGCTGCAACACACTTTGTGCGCAGAAGACACACATGCTGACAGACATCATTTTTACAGCTGAACATTTCTTTGTACTTGTTATTATTATTTTTACGGGGCTTGGCTGCGGGGTAATTTTCGATCGTGACATTTGAGACGCGGCGCGCCGGCCCTCTGCGAAAACAAACAGCGCTGGAACACGAGGCGGATGGCGGTAGTACCGCAGGGAAGGACTGACGTGGGCCTAATCCGGTACCGAGCGACCCGCAAGGAGAGGCCTGACGTGGGCCCTAACCTGGGGCATGATGTGAGCGAGGTCGTGGCGAGTTGAAACAAGATACATAAAAACGAATTAAAGGCCCGTACGATGAAAGTCGTAAATTTAAACACGGGCGCACGTACGCTGGGCAAGGCACATTAGCTCGCTCGCTCGCTTGCTCGCGGCGCCGGCAACAGCGAGCGGTGGGAGGAGAGTGGGCGGTTCCGGAGTTGCTGATCCGCGAGCGGGTCAGATAATTATCGCACGGCGTGAGAGCGCGCAGTGTAAATCAACGTAAATCATGCGCAGCAGCCGGGGCCGAGAGCGATCGCTGGTACCGGCCGTCCACCGCTCAGGAGAGACAGTGGAGGGAGAGGAGGGAACGGAGGGAGACTAAATGGGTGCCTGAGCACTCGAGGGCATGGCCTTCCCGAGGCTACGCAAACGGAGAATACGCCTGCCCCCCGTTTTTGTTGTTGTTAAGCTTTTCAACCAAGGTTGAACGCCGGCAATGCATTTTTCTACATCCGTCCTGTAACACGGGTCATGATAATTCTCGTGATGATGATCCAAACTAGATAACGATCCAAGCGTTGCTCAAATTTGTACAATAATAAGCAAAAAAACCCCTTTCCGGCCTAGGCAATTAATGTACGCGTCGCGTGCCCTCAATGCGACGACGATGTCACCCCGCCTCGTCACCTCGCAATGCGGCTCGCAATGGTCGCTATCATCCCGGACTGACGCTTGCGAGGACGAGCAAGGGTCGGAGAGTATCATAGCGGGGGGGGGGGGGGGGTTCCAAGCGTATGCGCGCACGGTTTCTCCTAACTTTTTTCTTTTGGCGGATTGATGCCCCCCCACCCCGCCGTCTGGGAAACGGTGACCTCGCGATGCGGCGGTGGGTTTTGTGAAATCACTGCCGCTCACGGAACAGGAACAGTTGAGGGCTCTACGCAGCCACTCAAGACGACGAGACATGAATCGGCGTCGTCTATGAATAGGAACCATTCTGAACGGTGCCGGCACACATGCTTGGTGCAGTGAGGGGGGAATGCTGGCGGGATGCGGGCATGCCGTCATACACCGGGGCCATTCCCAACCACTCGCCCGGCCCATGGCAAATACACGGCAGCATGCGGTCATCGCGACTGGCGGATGTCGTGCGCAGTCATTGTGGTGCCCCGGCCGAGACCATAAATCCGCGACACACGAACCCCGGTTTAATCACACGGGTGGCCGAAACGTGGAGTTGAACTCTGGACGCCCCGGGCCGTGCAGGCACCTCGCTCCGTGGCTTTTGTTACCGAGCCGATGGTCGCGGCCACACGTTTGAACTAAGTGCTCGTTCCACCGCCGCCGCCGCCACCGCCGCACCGCATCGGTGATTTGTAAGCGGGGCCTCCTGACCTCGCGAGCAACCCGGGCACCTCCGCACCCCGTCCGGTCCGGCCAGGAGCCATCATTCACCTCCTTCACCCCCGCCACCCCCACGTCAACGCCACTTAGCGAATGGGTTTGGGGCTACGCGAGGAGGCCCGGGCGAGGAGCGCGGTCGCTCCGTCCCGCGGTGACCGCGCGCCGGGGGCGCCCATCGCACGTGCCCAGACTCGCGACGACGATTTGGCCGCCTCGGAAAGGGAAAGAAAAAAAATGAACGTCCCGGCGCCTGAACCTCCACCGTCAGGTCGATGGCGTGGCTACACCGTCGTCGTTGCCGTCGTCACAGTCGGCAAGTGATCCGACCAAGATCAGAGCGCGACGGTGACACCGGAGAGAGAAGACGCTGCCAGCCGTAAAGAGGCAACTGCCCTGCGTGTGCAGGAAGGTGCAGCCCGTGACGAGTTAGTACTCTAAACTGAGATGAGTTAGTACACGAACCGAGATGAGATAATACACGAAACGACACGAGTGAGTAGTCTAATGGCAACTGCCTAGTTATGTTGATAAAATATTTACCGAGTTCACTGATTGGTTGACTTAATAATATTCGAGGGGGGCGGGAGTGGGTGCGGCTGGGAATTGCATGCCCCTAACTTGAATAAGTGAGAGAGTTTTGACTCCG